ACCACAGAAAAAGTAACTTGTGTTCCTAGAGTCCAGCATTCCTCCATCCAAGGTGATGTTAAGAATAGTCGAAAGCCAGCAGGGCTTTCCTGCCCACAGACCACAACTAGTAGATTCCTACTCAAAGGGGTGGCCTGGAACTCCACTGGACAAGCCAGTGATGACACATGTCTTAATCAGAACCAAGATGAGAGATGTCCCCATTCTTCAACCATGTGGCCTTCAAGCCCTCTTGCTGGTTGTTGGGACAGCAGAGCCTACTCCAGGGAAATGTTACTGTAGCTGCCAGTAGCCAGTAACCCCAGCTGTGCCTTCAGTAGACACACTGAATGAACAAGTCAATATTCAGTTCTGTGCTCCTTAATCTCGACCACATCCAGCCATGGGGTGAAGAGGGGCTCTTTCAAGATGGGGAGGTCCAAAATTACTGCCAAATAGCATGGCTTATTCTGGTTTTTTAAATAGTGATGAGCCAAATCTCCCCTGTAGAATGCACATAGCAGTATTTTGTTGATTCAGATTAAACATAGAATCAATATAAGAAGCTTAGCCTAGAATCTATCTGCATTGTTTATAAGAAGAGCTTCATGATTAAATTGCCATTATTAAAAAGGTAAGTACGATTTAATAAAACTACTTAAGAAGTGTTACTCTTTCCAAGTACAAATGTAGCACCCAATATTTATACAAATTTCAGGCTATTTTATTCATGAAAGCTAGTCCACTTCGCCTTTTACTAGAAACAATAAATATTTTTGCTTCAACAATAAATAAATATTGCTTCTTTACTAGAAGCAATAAATATTGCCAACGCCTAATTCTTGTCTTACAGTAATAAAACCAAATTCTTTTCATAGGATGGAATCATATTTCACTTCTGGAAATCAACTGCACACAACCAGTACAAATTCACCATGGGAACTGAATATTTCCACTTGCTACCTGACTTTTGTTTAGACTAATAGAAAATAATCTTTCCTTGGCCATAAGCTCACACTTTCCCCTCATTTAGAAAGAGAGAGGTGATGTGTCCTGAGTAGGAAAAGTATACAAAGATTTGTCCCTGCACCCTAAGCCAGATATAGCCCAGGTCAAGTGTGCATATGTGTATGTATGTATGTATATGGTGTGTGTATATGTATAAGAGATACATACATACATACATGGTGTGTGTGTGTATATAGATAGATAGATAGATAGATAGATAGATAGATAGATAGATAGATAGATATAGATATATATACCACGACCAAGAGATGATACAATAGATTCTCAGACTTCAACTTGGTTTGGGCAGCAACAGTATGAAAATGTTATCGGTGTAGGAGATATTAATTCCCATTTACAAGCTAAATCTAAACACATCATTACTGGAATTAGCTAACAGAGATAATGTATTCATACTAGACTGCATTTACTGTGCTGGTCTTATAACAATCGTATCAAATAAGTAGCCCCATTTTATTGAGTAGGAAATTGGAGCTAAAGAAATTAAAATATATTTTAAGTAAAAAAAATATCTGGAATTCGCAGGGAAGCTACCTGATTATAAGGCTCATAATCTAAATTATTATCAACATATGATTTCTGTTTCCCTTCAGCCCATGGTAAAAGAAGTACAGAATTTATAAACTTTTCAGTTTGAGTTCTTTCAGTTAAAAGAGCTCCTAAGTGAATCATTTAATTTAATTCCTCTCCCTTCCAGACATTTCTTCACCAATATTCCCGAAAGAGGAAACAACCAAATTTCTATTGACTATTTCCAATGCTTAAGATTCTTATTTTGGGGGGCAGTTTATTTCATTACTGGACTACTATAATAGTTAAATAAGTCTTCCTAATGCCAAAATGGCAGTGTGAAGATAATTCTGATTTCTTTTCACTCTAAAATTGATCAGCAAACAACAAGAGGAACAAAAAGCAGAAAAGGAAATTCTAACATCAAGGAAACCAGAAGAATTGAGTCCCTAAACCCCAAACCACAACAGATAAGGAATAGAACAAAGGACTTAGTGGTAAATGATTTGACAGAAAAAGTGTACTTCACAAGAATGGGGCTGGATGTCAGCAGAAAAGGCTACCAGCGAGAGCAAGCTAATTTGCCTGGTAAACTCTGAAAAGACTAAGGAATTTGGGGTTTAATACCCAGCAAGTGGAGAAACTATTGAAAGTGGTAGTAAGGCAGGAGACTTAGTAGGACAGTTTACCTGGCTGTTGTACACGACTCTTGTATTATTTGTTTGTTTGTTTGTTGTAAGAGATAAGGTCTCATTATGTTGCCCAGGCTAGACTGGATCGTCCTTAGTAACTATACTTAGTAACCACAGACATGTGCCACCACATCCAGTTTGATTTTTTTTTTTTAAGCCTCACTTTGTCACCCTTGGTAGGGTGCTTTGGCATCATAGCTCATAGCAATATCAAACTCTTGGGCTCAAGTGATCCTCTTGCCTCAGCCTCCCAAGTAGCTGGGACTACAGTCACCATCACAATGGCAATTAATTTTGTAGAGACAGGGTCTTGCTCTTGCTCAGGCTGGTCTCAAACTCCTGAGTTCAGGCAATCCACCCACCTCTGCCTCCCAGAGTGCTAGGAATTACAGGTGTGAGCCACTGTGCACAGCCTGATTTTTTTTTTTTTTTTTTTTTAACCAGGAGAAGGAACAGTTAGAACAAAGAGTCCCCAGGCCCACCCTATAAAATCAAGTCCCTTTCAGAGTATCTCTGACTGTTCTCTGGAGAAGCTCAACAACCAGAAAGGCTCTGGACTCAGGGATGTGAGGCCCAGAGGGGGACACGGATGAGGAACAATGATAAAAGGGGAAGGAGACCATATAAATAAAAATTATATAATAATTAGAATAGATCAAATGTTGACAAAACTGTCACTTCCCAAAGCACGTTGTAGAAAAATACCATGAATTCAAACAACAGTAGCAATGTTCAGCAAACACTGTCTGCCACATAAAGGTGGTGTTAATTAGAATTGTATTGATTGGTTTTATGGAGTTTTAAAAATATATTCATTTTTAAATTAATATTGTATAGTTACTCAAAGCACAAGAAGGGTATCCTTATTTTCTTATTAGTACATACTGGTGCACATAATAATATAATCCTTCAAGTAATTTCAATATTAAGTTATTCTGTTAAGAGAATCTATACATTCCTCAAATTTGAGGAGCACTGACTTATTGTTTGTTATTTCTGAAAGATCTGATTGGGTCAGTTTGTCACAATGCAGGTTGGAATCCCACCCAACTGGTGGCATTCACCAACTATTTATTAACTTAGATGAAAGTACTTCTTTCTGTCCTTGATTTTAATTCACCCACTGTTTTATCAAATGTCGGAGTAAACAGCTTCACTGTCTTCATCCTTGGTATTTCTTTATCCCACCCGCGACATCTCACCCCCTACTTGTTGGGTGCACTCATCTATGTATATCTTATGCCTCCCCTGAACTCACAGAAAGTGGTAGGAAAATGTTTGGGGGTGGAATGCTTTCATTTCCTTTTGCTGCTATAATAATTTTCCACCAATTTAGTGGCTTAAAAACAACACAAACGTATTATTTTATAGTTCGGGGGATCAGAAATCCAAAATGAGTTTCACTGGACTACAATCAACATGTCAGCAGGATTGCATTCCTCTGGAGGCTGTAGAGGACAAGCCTTTTTCTTATCTTCCCCAGCTTCTAGAACAGTGGTTCTCAGCCTTCTAATGCTGCGAGGTATTTTCATTGTTACAAAGGGGTCATGACCCACGGGTTGAGAACTGTTGTTCTAGAGGCCTCCTGGATTCCTTGGTTCATAGGCCTACATCACTCTGACCTATGCTCAGTCACCAAATCTCTTTCTGACTCTGATCCTCCTGCCTCCCTATCTTGTGTTTGTTAATGCAAAGACCCTTGCAGAGCACATCAGGCCCTCCCAGATAATACAGGACAATCCATCTAAGGATTTAATCCTCAAAGTCCCTCTTGTTATACAAAGTAACATATTCACAGGTTCAAGGCATCAGGAAGTGGGTATTTTTTGGGTGGCATTAGTCTGCCTACCACAAGGAGTGCCACTACGCCCAGCCCGTCCCCAGAGTAGAAATTCAGACACAGAAATTTGCTTTGGAAGAACATTCTCCAAAAACAGAAAGGAAAAGGGAATGGACTCAAGAGACAGGCATTTTATGGTAAACAAGGAGGCTCTTTTTCTTAAGAGGATTAAGGAACATGTTGAGAATTTGAAAAAGGTGGACAAGGTGCTATGGGAAAGTGGGGACACCCCCCAAACAATGAAGAAAAAGCAGACAGCTTCCCAAAGGTCTTGTCTGAGATGTGAATGCAGGTACCTGTGGAAGACTGTGCTCCGGGGTCCCAGCCATCACCACGGGCACGAAGGTTACATTCAACCCAATTCCAATATAGCTATCAAAATGTTTACTTCAAATTTTGCAAACGAGCCAACAATGACATCATAATTAAAGTGGGTTCTAGCACCTCCCTGTTCTTATGCCACTGTTTGCCTTTTCCACCATCCCTGTAAGAAACTTGACACTAATTAGGCTTGCACAAAAAGGAAAAAAAAAAAAAGATGAATCATCCACCACACTGGAGATAAACCCAGAAATAATAAAGACTCTGCCTGAAAGAACAACAATGGTGAAAGATCGTCCTGGCCAAAGGGGCTACGTCCTCAGGAGTGAGTCTCTACCAGAAGAAAATGTGGAAGAATCTGACGAGCTCCACCGGCTGCTTCTCTTTTCTGAGTGTCTCCCCTGGCGACAGCTGGAGAAGCTGGGGTGTATTTCTCTCTTGCTGTGTCATCTGATGTTCCTTTCTCCACCCCCACCCCCTCCCTCCTGCTGCCTGCGTGGAGTGAGCGGGCGTGTGTCTGTGTGTGTGTGTGTCTGTGTGTGTGTGTGTCTGTGTGTGTGTGTGTGTGTGTGTATTGGGTTTCTCTCCCCACCCCGTGAGAACACAGCCAGCCCACCTTCTCCTGCTGTCGCTGTTCTGACTTGCTTTTTGCTGCCTCTTTCTTCTCCTCTCTCTTCTAGCTTAGCTCCTTGCCTTCTGGTGAGTATGACAAACACTCCCCCAAGCCCCACAAGAAGATGTAGCGTGCTGTTTGTGCTGTCTGAAACTTCCATCTTTGAGACTGGAGAACTTTCCGTTGTTGTATTTATGATGAAGACGTGTTGCTCAGGAAGGGAAGTGTAGATAGTCCCCTGGGACTGCCAACAGGGCGGAAAAATTCTCCCTCCAGGGACAGGAGGAGAAGGCAATAAAGTATAATATAAAATTCAGAAATAAGTTACTTGCCATAAAATGTATTAATATAAAAGGAATAGATTAAAAGTAACAAAGTTCCGTGACTTTCCTCCCCTGTTAGTGGTTTGTCTTAAGGCTCCTTTTAGAAATGGACTTGTCCTGGGCTTACAATGATTCAATTATTTGGGGGGCGGGGGGGTCCCAATGTTTTTCTTTTTCTCTATTTTATTCCAGAATATTAGGGGGTACATGTGTTTTGTTTACATTCTTCGTTTTTTGCACAAACTGGCTCAAAGTTGTGCCCCCCATCCAATGTGTGCTGTACCGAATAGGTGTGAATATTCTGTTTTAAAATAAACATGGAACAGGAGTTTAATGAATATCTATGGAATTAAGTATTTAAAATCCATGAATGTGGCATCTGATAATGAATAAATCAATTGCAAACCAAAAACATGCACTTAGACTGAGCACAGTGAAATTCCTATGGATAACCATTTTGAAGCTCATTGTTCTGAAGTTTGGTTTACTTTATATTTTATTTCATCCAAAGATAGTTTCTCCAAACACTTTAAAACTCACATAGGGATTTAAATCAGCAAATCTTCAATGTTTGCGATTTGATTGAAAAAGTATTCTCTCGATTTTCAAGGATGAAGTGCTAAATGCCAGGACTCATTTTAGGATAGCTTAAAATAACTTCTGGCTGGACAGCAGGTGCCACGTGTCTTTCTCTGAGTTCGGGGAAAGCGTAAGTTATATATAGATGAGTGGAGGTCAGGATAAATAAATTCCAGTGAGGAAGACAACAAAACTGTTTACTGCATTATTTTATAGTCAAGTTGGCGAATAGTGGAAGAATAAAAAAATACTGCCTCTAAGTTCCACATACTCGGTGAGTATCACAAGTGGGTGGCAATGTCTGTACGTTGAACCTTCTGTTTTTGCTGAAGTCCAAGCATTTGACTACTGAGAATGGGAAGAGGCAGCGGTGCAGTTTTTAGAACAGTATGCTTATGCTTTCACTCTCATGCCACCGCAAGAGCAGAACCTGCGAATTACAGGGATCTCGCCATCATTTTAGGCTGCTAATGAGTGGCGTGACCTTAAGTGTTATTTATAAATAAAATGTGCTATAACTTAAAGGCCTCGGCCAATCTGTTACAACCCTATTTGTCCCTCACCCTTTCCTAAGGCTCCCAGTGATATCTAAATTCTTTCCCTAGTTCATCCTCTCCTTGTTTGTCAAATATTGCTATTTCTTACAAATTATTAAGCTTTCCTGGAGCTTCTTGACTTAGAAGAGAAAGTGGTAATCTGGTGGTCTTTTTTTTTTTTTAAGGTCATTTTTTTTCTAAACTGCCAATAGTATGGGAAAAATTAAAAAATAATAAAAGGTCTTTTTTATATTGGAATAAAAGGGTTTTATGGAAATCTAAGAAATTGTTACTATAAGTACTACTGCGTTTTCACACTAGTTGGTTCATATGTGCCTTTTCTCATTCCCTGTCTTATTCCAAAAATGATGCTAGTTTGAACCTTAGAAAAAGTGTTCTAGAACGTGGTACAGTGGCTCACACCTGTAATCCTGCATTCTAGGAGGCCAAGGCAGGAGGATCACTTGAATTTAGGAGTTTGAGACTAGCCTGAGCAAGAGGGAGCTCTCATCTCTACTAATATAAAGAAATTAGCCAGGTGTTATATCAGGCACTGGAGTCCTAGCTACTTGGGAGGCTGAGGAAGGAGGAACCCTTGAACCCAGGAGCTGAGGTTGCTGTAAGCTAGGCTGAGACACAGCACTCTAGCCTGGGGCAATAGAGTGAGACTTATCTAAGAACAATTTTATAAAAGGGTTCTGTTCATTGATAATATGTGCATGTGCATTGGGTTTGCTCATCTAGGAAAAAGAAAATACCAGAAAAGCAAGAAATAGCTCCAGTATCCAATGTAATAATACACTTACATCAAAGTATTCATACTAATCAAACCTTGATTTACAGATCAACAGAATGATTAGGGATGCTATTGTTATGAATAATTTGAATAAGTTCCATGACTCTTGTGTTAAATATCTTAACTTCAAAAGAAAACTAACACCATTCTAAACATTTAAAATGTATACATCCATGTACCTCCAGTGATTATTAATCTACATAGAGCTATATAAGAAAATGATGACACAAAGTGGCTCTTCTAAGCAAAATGACAAATACGGCCACGAGAAACAGTAGCATGAATTAGTCTCTTCAAGTCCATAGTAAGAGATACTATGGAAAATTGAAGCTCAAGCTGAAAAATATGTTAGTAGTATGATTTACAAAAACAGCTTCCCACTGTTGCTACCAGTGGTTTGTGAAAATACGTTCGTTCAACGTTAAAAACATAATTAGTTGGTATCCACTTGGGGACTCTTCTTACCATTAACATGCAACTGGGGTAACTCCACACTCCCTAACTGTGGGGGGCTCTTCTTACACATCTGGCACATGCAACTGGGGTAACTCCACACCCCCTAACTGTGCTTACCGCTAGGTACGACCCCCAGCATGGAGACCGATCACTCTGAAGGGCTCTCAGCTGAACCGCAGGCGGCGCCCGCAGGAGACAGCTCCTCACCACCCAGCCCAAACCACCTCCAGAAGCACAACAGTCAGGACGCCTCGGCTCCACTGCACACACCGAGCAGGGAGGCAAGCAGGCCCCCCGACATCTCTGAAGAGTTGAACCGACAGCTGGAAGACATCATCAACACCTACGGCTCAGCCGCCAGCACGGCAGGGCCAGGGGGCCCCGCCAAGGCGCAGGAGCCGCCCGAGAGCGCAGAACCGCCCGACCACGAGGATGCCGACTGTGAAGAAACCACCGAGGAGGCTGCTTCTGGGGAGCCATCCACAGTCAGAGAGCCTGTCGGCAACCGGGAGCAGAAATTGGAAAAGAAAATCCTGAAAGGATTAGGCAAGTAGTTGTGTTCTATTCTAACATATGGCTTTGCGGTGAATTCTTCCTACAAAGGGGCACGTCCTCCAACCTGTACTAAAGCCGCGTCTGATACTTGAATGACTATCACAGCCTCCAGCAGAGTCTCCCCACATTTTCTTTTGCTGTTCTTGCCTCTGGCCTGTTCCCCCCGCCCCTTCTACAGGGCTCAGGTGACCTTTCCAACATGGTACCCACCTACCCTCTGTCCCAAGGGCTTCCCAGTGCTTAGGATGAAGACAAAAGTTCTTAACATGTTCTCCAAGTTTCCAATGGTCTAATCCCGACCAGGGCCGGTTTTATCTCACATCATTCCACTCCACGACGTCCCTTCCCTGAACACCCTGCCCCGTTTATCACCACCGCTACTGCTGCCCGGCAGCTGGTCCTTCTGGACGTCTCCTTCAGTTGGTGGGATGTGTGATGCTCCAGGCCCACAGGCCTGTGCACGTCCTATTTTCGTTACCTAGAAATCTCTACGGAGTCCCCAGTCCTCCAGTGAATTATTTATCAATCCTAATCTTCGTGAGGCACTGTAGCAGATGCGTAAAGATAAGTCGTAACCCTTTGGTCGGGATGCACTAGGTATTGTGGGGGGAAAGCGTGCATCTAACGTAATTATTATAGAGGATAAACAAAAGAAACAGGCCGAGGAAAAGTTTTAGGAGAGCATGGGGACTGGCTGAGAAAGCCCTTCTGCCTCTCTTCCCTGTGGAAACACTCATTACAAATGCCCTCTCTTCCCTGGTCTGTCCAGATAGTGGGCACCACCTTCCTCAGTTCCCCATCCAAGTTCTTAACTTAGCAATCATTATTTACATGCCTCCCGTCCTAGATGGAGAATCCATCATGGGCAGTGAGCATCTGCTATTTATTTCTGGAAGGCAGAGGGGTGGAGTGAAAGTTCATGGATATAAGAGTCAGAACTGGGTCCAAACTCCAATAACAGAGGACCTGGAAACCCAGAACTATGTCTACACTCAAGCAGGGTACTGTTCGTTGGTTAGCAGGTCTATGCAAACTTACCCTCAAGGGCCAAGGGAACTGAACAGGCAGGACGCTGACAAATCCAATTTCTCTGAAAGAAATATCTAATAGGGACTCACAAACAGCAGTCGTGTCTCCAGGGCCACAGGACCAGCCCTCTAGAAATTGTCCCTTGTATAGCCAGGTTTTAGGGTAAAGACATGCGCAGTTGTTCGTGTCTCAGACTTTGCTGAAACTTGTGACCAGAGGGAGGTGAAATAAGCATCTTTAGGGCTTCTCTGTGCATTGTTTAAAGAGCCTGCCGCAAGACGCCTTCATACACAGGCATCTAACTTCAATCATGGGGCGCTTTCACTTCCAGATGGTGTCATTCCTGCCATGCTCAGGCTGTTTTCCTACAGATGTCACTGACGCTTCAAAGGCATGGCTACCATGCTGTCAGAAGGGCTAAATGACATGTTCAAATAGCATTCTTCACCCACCCGGCACAAAAATTAAAATAACTCAGTACCTTTCCATATCCTCAAGTTGTAAATTGCCATGTGAGAATCACTCTAATGTTTCGGAAGGGCGAGAAACAGAATAGAGTTGTTCTGTGTTACAGAGCAATTTTTTCCTTCTCTGGCCAGACAAAATCTCAGGTGGCTGTGCCTCTTTGCATTAGTCATTATTAAAGTTTCCATAAGACTCTATACAAAATCTCATCCCAGAAGTGAACAACTTCAAGGGGAACCAGTATCTTCCTGAAACTTTTACATAGGAATTTGTGGGTGTACGTGTGTGTGTTTGTGTGTGTGTGTGTTGTATTGAGGGGAAAGATATGAAGAAAGTGGGAGTAAAGTGAAAGATAACCAATTTGGGTTTGTATTTTCTCTTCCACGAGTTGTTTCATAATCCATGTTACCATACAATGACCAAACACTCAGGATGAATTTTTTAGAGTAAGAAAAAAATTTCACCTGACTCTGCCACTACCTACCAGTTACCAAAATTCTACTGAATGTGTTTAACCAAATCAATAGTTGTGAACCAGAGTGCCCAGATGGGTCCACCCTCAGTAAGGGTGAGGGCTGCTGAGTTTTCTGAGCCTTCCCACTCAACATCAGCAGCATATTCTTCTAAATAATGGACAGTTTCAGCCACATTATGCATTAAAAACATTTTTAGGCTAACCTAAACATGTAACGACCATTTTAAACTTTATTTCTGTTGTCTGCAAGTGGCTCTGGCAGACTTCTTAGCTACTTAACAACTAAACAAAATGGCCCTGTGCAATTGCCTTGACCCGTGGTTTTCAAACTTAAGTGTGCATTAGAATCAACTGCAGAATTTCCCGTAAATGCTGCTCCTGAGCCCCCACACATAGATATAGGTTGGGAACGAGGCCAAGGCACCTGGGTAATTTTCACCCAAACCAATCATGAAAGCGAGGGTTCTGATGCGGCAAAGTGCTTCAGATATTCCTTTGGAGAAAATACGACATTCTGGCTGTGGTTTTCTTTTAGAATCTATTTGGGTCTTTTGTTGAAATGTAATAAGTTGTTCAATCTGTTCCTGAAGATATATCTTTAGATTTTGTTTCTGTACTTGTTCAAAGATGTCTTTAATTATTGTATTATCAGGTACTATTTATTTTATTGGTACGTTTGAGATACTGAAGTGTTTTGACTCTCTAATCCCAAAATTTCCAAGGTGTGTAATTTGGAATATTTAAAATTTTAGACAAAGTTAAGTAGCTCCTTTACTACCAGAATTTTCTTCATATATATGTGTGTGTGTGTGTCCATATACATATTCCATACATATGGGGGGTGTATATACACAGGGAAAATCTTAAATAATGAAATTTCAGATAAAGTTAAACAATTTCTTTACTGCCAAATTTCTCTGATCTTATACATGTCATATGTACAGAAGGTACCAAAAAATGTATACAATTTTAAGAAAGGAAAAAACTATTAAAATTGTAATACCCAAGTCACAGTTGACTTTTGCAATTACAAGAGGTACTGAAAGGTGACTTGTATTTATCTTTTGTTATCGGTATATATTGAGTATTACTACTTTAATATACCTTTTTCCTTTCTTAAAATGAATATACACTTTTTGAAACCCTCTATATACGTATGTCTATATATATATATGTGTGTGTGTGTATATATATACACACACAATAAAAATCTCAAATAACGAAGGACATAGTTTTCATTATTCCCTAAAGTTATTAGCCCAATGAGACTCCTTTTCACAGTAGGTTTGAGTATTTGGGTAAAGGCTGCATACTCTCCCATAATCAACACGCTTTATGCTGGAGCCAGGTGAGGTAACATCTTAAAATCTCTTTAGTTGGTAGACTCCCTTTCTTTCTTCTTGGCATGTGAACTGAAAGAAACAAAACCCGATTTTCCATCGTGCAGTATCATGGCATGGTCTGTTAACACCTGAAGTCTCCTCCCTGCCTCTCCCACCACCATCCCCCAGGCTCCTAAGTGCCCTATTAATCACTTTACTAATCATGTCTTTGACAACATTATGTGGGCTGCACAGGCACCACATAATAATAATAAGCACAAAACATTGATAAAATATAATATATTTTTGATTTTAAAGCTGTAACTGAATGAAGAGGAAATCATAGGTTGGAAACATCAAGGCTGGGAGAAAAACAAAGCTGATCCGCAGATCCGTTCTGAGTTCAGCCTCCATCTAGTCCTATTAATTTTATACACAGGGAAATTGAAGCCCAGGTAGCTTAAGTTTACTAAAAAAGGTTATTCACCTAGTTGAGGTAATTGCAAGATTAGTCATAAAGGGGCAGACGGGTGTCACTGACATCGCAGGACCAAGGCATACAGAAGCAAGCAGCATGTTGGCTGAGAAGTGTTAAGCTCAGGTAGTGAGTTTTGTTTTACCAGGTACAGATGAGTTTCAGTTGCACCTTCTGAAAGACCCCCTGACTAGGACGTTAGTATTCTGAAATGTCTGAGACACCCATTTAATTGTGGAAAAGAAAAAGCACGGTTTTGAACACATTAAATCTGCATAAATTATCACCAAACTTAGTATAAACAAATAGCATAAACAAACTCATCATTACTGATTTGGTGTGGACTAAACCTGGTCCACATTTCTGTGGCTGGTTTAGTTGCCTTTTAATTTAAGGTTTTAATTTCGATCACATGAAAATAACTCCTTTGTTTTCTGATACAACTGTGCCGGTGACCACGGCTGTATGTGACACTGTTGCTTTTGCTTGGGGGGGTGGGGAGGGCAGGCACATAGATTTCCTACCAAAGGGAGCATTTGGCAGTGTGGTGGCCGCATGACCACCATATGACTTCCCAGCTTTAATGGGGAAGAAATGAAGCTTTGCTTTGGAATGACACAGTAGAGAGAAGGCAGGAGATCTCCTGATAAACTGTTCCTGAACCAAGTCAGTTTTTCCCCTCATGTCTGACACTGTCACCAAATGACCCCGTGTCCACAGAGATGTAATCATAGCCTTTCTTAGAAGATGAACACGTCTCTACCTATGCCCTTTCCTGTGACTGTGCCACACAGCACCCCAGTCCAACAAAACCAATGGTTTCTGATGTCACAAATCTGTGAGTTCTGGGCATGTTTATCTCCAATGTCTTGGATTTTTTTAATTAAAGGGAGAAATCATTTTTGAAGGCATATGGATGCATCTGAACCTTAATACCATCTATACAAAATAATACACTATTAGAGCAAAAGAGACTTTAGTGAGTGCTAAGATTAAAAAACAAAGCAAGGCTCGGCGCCTATAGCTCAACCGGCTAAGGCGCCAGCCACGTACACCTAAGGTGGCGGGTTCGAATCCCCAGCCCGGACCCGCCAAA